TGCTGGCTCTAAAATATCATTTTTTTGGTTTCTTCCATGAGACCCCTCTGTTTCTACCTGTTTTAGGCAAAATTCTGAGGGGAAATAACTTCAAGAATAAAGATTTGCTTGTAGCCAATTTATGGAGCATGTTCACCAATACTTGTAAGGTAGTGACAGAGGGAGAAGTAGTAAATAAAGCTACAGAACTATAATACAGTCATGAAAAAGGCTTCAGATGATCCCATCAGGCACTTTGGGACTAGAATGGCTTTGGAAGTAGCCCCAGATTGAGGTGGGAGGTTGTATACCTATCCCACCACCATATTTAGGCTGCTCCCAGAAGAGAACATAACCTAAGGAGAGGCAGCTGCCTTCAGATGAGGCCAATTCCCTCAAAGTTAGGGAAATTAGTGCCTCTGCCCTGAAAAGGTGTGGCGGGGGGTGGGGGTAGTTCTGGGCAGCACAAAACAGCAGCGATTAAGAAAAATTTAATTGTATCTCTATTAGCTGACTTTTATCTATTCCTTTTATCAATCTTTTGTATATTTAAAACATTCTGTTTGTCTTCATTTTCCTCATTTCTCTGTCTTCACAATGTTTCTTTTTCCTTGTATTCCAAGTTTTTTTTCATTTATAAAATTTTTCTTTTTATAATCATTTTCTTATTTCCATCACTTTTTCTTTCATATCCTTCTGTTATCTCTTTCTGTGTTCCCTTTCTGATTTTATGCTGTTTCAAAACTTTAAGTATTTTCTTTCTTTCAGCTCATTTAGAAATACTAGGTTGGTGTTTTTATATGCTTTGTGTTTGGATTTTTCTGATGGGTTCACCGACCATCATCCCACAGGTCTTGTATTCCAAGGTGTTACTATTACCTTTAGATATTTATTTTGCTATCCTAATACTCACTGGGATCTGCTTTCTCTGGCTTCTTTCTCTATCCTCTATGGTACTGAACTTTCCTTTTCCCTCACCCATAATACTTCTGTCCTATTCAATTTCATTTCCGAAACTAGTTGTTTTCTTACTGTATGTGAATTTATCTTCTGGAGGAAAATATGTGCTGGATAGTTCTGAAATCTTCGGGGGCTTAGTTCACCATAGCTCTCTTTGATCTCTTAATGATTCTATGCAGTTTTCCTCATGTACCAATAATTCAGTTCTTCCAATGTTTCAGTTTCTCTTAAACCTGTATTTTTTCCATTTAGTCAAGAAATAATGATGTCTTAGATGTGGTATTAGGGTGATGGTAGTGGAGACTGAGACAACTAAACATTAAGAGATATTTTGGTGGTATAACCAAGGGAAATTTGTAATGGTCGAATAAAGGATTAAGAGATGCTCAAAAATGGTTTTTGGCTCAAGCAATTGGATGAAGGTTTTACAGAAATGGTGGAAACTAGAAGATGAATAATTGGTAATGGCAGAAGCAGGCATTATATTTAGCTATATTAGGTTTGAAATACCTATTATAGAGTGGTGTAGGCATATCAAAGAAATCAATCTTTGAACTGAGATATAAAAGTATTGCTTAGACATTACTTCCTTTGGGAAGAGTTCCCTGATCACCTTCTTCCTATCCCTTTAAACTTATTATCCTTGTTACCCATAGCATCTTTCATCATTCCTGTCATAACCTTTATCAAATTTATTTTGCAATTGCCCATATATTGGTCCATTTCCTCTATTGGACTGTGAGCTTTTTGTGGAACAGAAGCTGTGTTCATTTTTTTCTCAGGTTCCTTCCTGGCACAATGCTGACAGTCAGCTCTTTTTTTTTCAATGCATGCATACAATTGTACAGTCAATTCTATTTTCCTTTTTTGAGACAGACTCTCATGTTGTTGCTCTAGGCTAAAGTGATCTGGTGTCAGCCTAGCTCCCAGAAACCACAACTCCTGTGTTTAAGTGATCCTCCTGCATCAGCCTCAGGAGTAGCTGGGACTACAGTTGCCCACCACAACCCCCAGCTCATTTTTTCTATTTTTAGTAGAGATGAGGTCTCACTTTTGCTTATATTGGTCTTGAACTCCTAAGCTCAAGTGATCCTCCCACCTTGGCCTCCCAGAGTTCCACACAGCCACTCTATTTTTTCTATAGCTGCACTTTTTGAAAATTACTTCCATATTTGGCCAACATTTGCCTTCTTTTACCTTCTAACCAGTTCAAGATTTATCTTTAAGAGCTATTTTGAATTTAAGTGCTTATCTTCAATATAGTTGCCTCAGATCATATATGACTTTATATCTGGGTGGGATATGGAATATTAGTCTTTCAAACAAAACATGCAATATAACCCTCAACCTTTTCACATGTAATATCTTAAACTATGTCTCCTCAAATATGTTTCTGTATTGAAATACCCAAATGTAGGATTTATTACTTATTCTATTAAATTTATCTTGGTGGATTCAGCTTTCAACTCCGGAAGTGTATCATTTTGGATACCACAAATGTACCAAAGTTGAGCTCTAGGAACTCGCCCTGACCTTCAATTAGAAAATGTTTTCAGGTTAGCATAAAGTTTACTTTATGGTGTAGTAAACATAAAATTTATTTTGGAAAAAAATGCTTCTGTTCTAAATTTTTGAAAACCGCTTCTAGAGCAAGCCACTGATGAATTCTCCAAGACTGTAATCAATATCACACCCTTTTCCTTATCCCCACTTACCATATCACCCTAAAATTTAAATGGTTGTAATTCTTAAAATTTTCATGATTTACCCACTATACATTAAAATTGTGTGCAGATAATTTTAATGAATCGCTGTATTCATTTTTAAAAGATCACCATAATCTTCATGAATATTCTTTTCTTTTCTTTTGGCTGAGGCTGGGTTTGAGCAAGCCACCTCCGGCATATGGGGCCGGCACCCTACCCTTTTGAGCCACAGGCACTACCCCTTAGTGAATATTCTTACATTGTTGTGAATGCTCCAGCTTTAAACACAAAATAAACTTCTGCAAAATAATTTATCAATTTAAAAAACGCTAGCAACTCAATTGGTCTTACCTTGTGCTTTCTGTGAAAAAGTACTAGTACATTCAGAAAAGAAAATTTACAATTTGTGGCTGATAATTCAGTCTACTTGTTTTAACTTGGTTCTTCTTTCCCTTCTCCTTCCCCTAGTATACCAGATGAGTTTTTAAAAGGGGAAGGGAGTGATGTTGTATCATGAAATAATCTTATGCCAAGTGTCATAGAAGAAAAGTTGATTTGCGAATGGCCTGACTCTCATTGGGACTATTCAACCAAAAAGGTATAAACCAAATCGATTATTATGCTTCAGCTCACATTTATCATTTTATTCAAATCTCAAAGAAAAAACCCAACTACTAAATGCCTTATCTAAATGCAGATATATCACCATCTGAACTTCTTTGCTTTTTCAATAGGATTAACACATAAAGAGACTATTATAAACTATTTTTTCCTGTTCCTGGTGACTCCATGTTGGAGTCCAGTAATATTCTCACAAGATCACATAGGAACTTGACATTGCAACTGAGATCAGAATCCCAGGATTTGTATTCCCAAGCCATTACACTTTTTGCTGTACCAGTGTTGCTTAAATGCTTATAGAAGGTGCTGATCATAAAAAAATGGAGCACCAAAATTAAAAATAAAATCATTAAAATCAAACAATTTAATGTAACACACTTCCATGGCCCTCTACTACTACAAGTTCTTCCTTCCTCAATTTCAAGTATTGAGTTTCTAAACTAAAACTGAGCTTGAGGTTGAATATTAAGTTTATCATAAGCAAGACAGAGAAGAAATAAAACTATTACAACATTATAGTGTCATCTCCCTAGAGGTATTAAATATAAAGTGTTTAGCTATTGCCCCTTTCATTCCCCCAAATCATCATCCTTGGATGGGAAATGATCATATACATAAAACAACATGTAGAAATTAAAACACTTTAATATAAACATTTCCAGAATATAGACTGATTTTCTATGAGTTTATGAGAGTTTTTTAAAACTATATATCATCTAAGTTTATCATAGACTGTTTCATTTTCCACTTTTAGAACTAGAAAATACAAAAATACACTGAAAGTTAGATTTAACAAAGAAAAAAATTCAGTCTAATTTGTTTCATACATTTTCCTTGGAGAAAACCAAGAAACATAAATTTATACACAACAACAATAAAATACCAGCAACACAAACCCAAACAGGGAATTAATTTTGCAATGCCTGGTAATTATCTTTTAAAATAAATTATTTCCAATAAGTAAATAATTCACTATCACAGCAATTAGATGAACAGAAGTAGAGACAACTTCACTTAAGGAAATTACATTATATGTAAGAAATATGTATTTTTTTTTCTTTTTTAAAGAAAATGATGGAAAGTAACTTGAGGAAAAGGCATATCGAATACTTTAACTTCACTTGGCTTTTGTTCGATATTAAAGTAACTGTCCACATAGAGAAATTCAAATAACATTAATTTTATGAAACCAAACCCTTCAACTTTGAGGGAACAAAACTAAAAGGTTCACAATCCAAGTATAGACTCATTCCAAAGCACCAATTCATCTGTCTTTTCTTCATTTATTTCCTTTTGTTAAGTTCTTCTTGTGTTCTTATGTTCTTGTTTCTCAGATACTAGGTTTAGCCATTATTTCTTGTAATTAAATTTTAAGTTTCACCAAAATAATCAGTTTTCCTAAACTGATAATGACTACTTTTCATCTGATCCTTTTGTTGTTGTCTATATCCATTTTCTTTACTTTGATCTTTGAGTAAACAAACCAAAAATTCAAAATCCAAGAGTAGCCTCATCTAACACTGACTCTTCCACCTTTTCTTCAACAGGTTTCCTTTTTTCCTCTTATGTTCTTCTGATGTTCTTAGAGGCTAGGTTTAGGTTTAATATTTCTTTTTCAACTCAATTTCAATTTTTACACAAAAAAATCTAAGTGTTTCTGAACTGAAACTATCTGCCTCTCCTTTTCTTCATCGGATATGCCTGTTTTTATCTAAATACATATTCTTAATTTTCTTCAAATCATCCTTGGGTAAACAAAACTAAAAGTTCAAAATCCTAGAATAGACTCATCCCAAAGCATTTCCTCTTCTGTCCTTTCTTTAACAGATTTCTTTTTCCCCTTCTTATGCTTCCGTTCTTCTTTCTCAGAGGGCACATCATGGCTTTTTTTCTTTTTTCGATGCTTAAGCTTTCCTGAACTGACCCCAACTTTATCCCCCTCTCTTTTCTTTTGACGAATGCTCTTGTCTTTGTCTAAATCTACATCTTCATAACTCTTTTTCCTTTTATGCTTGGACTGTTCCTTCTCAGGCCTTTCTTCACGTTCTTCCAGGTGTCGTCTTTTCTTCTGATGTCTCCGTTTATGACCTGCTTGGTCATCACTGGTATTGTTTTCTGAGGCGAGGTCCTTGTAAACTTCAGATTCTACACTATATGGGCCAGAGTTATTTTCTTGCTGATTAAGGCTCAAAGGTATTGGTTTTTCTGGGAAATAATCTCTGGTGAGTTGATAGTAACTACTAGAGTCTAGTCCCTGTTCACTGTCATGAGCTGGTAAACAATGAGGTATCTGGTTTTCCACTGTTTGTGAAATATTGTATGGTCCTGGATAGGTCTGAAAAGTCTCAAATGGGAGATTTTGCTCCAACATTTTATGTTTGGGGTTGACATCAATCATTTCTTTATATCTGTATGTTTCCACAGAGCTGTCACCTATCTTTCTAAAACAAGTCTTTGGCTCTAGTCCTCTGGCTTTCTGCACTTTGATGTAATCTTCAAGTTCATCTTGAAAAGAATCATATGTCCTCTTTGAATGAGCTGGTAACCAATGAGGTAATTGGCTTTCCACTTGTGAAGTATTATATGGTTGCTGGTAGGTCTGGGAAGTCTCAAATGAAAATCTTTGCTCACATGTTGTTTGCCTGGGTCCAGATTCAACCATTTCTCTGTACCCATGAGTTTCCACAAAGTTCTCTCTCATATTCCTGAAACAAGTCTTCGGATCTAGTCCTCTGGCTTTCTGCACTTTGATGTAATCTTCAAGTTCATCTTGGAACGAGCCATATGTCTTCTGTGAATGACCTGGTAAGGAATGAGGTAACTGGTTTTCTACTGCATGTGAAATATTGTATGATCCTGTATATGTTTGGAAACTCTCAAATGGGACACTTTGTTCAAACATTCTATGTCTGGGTCTATAATCAACTACTTCCCTGTATCCACGTGTTTCCAAAGAACTCTCTTCCATCTTTCTAAAACAAGTATTGGGCTCTAGTCCTCTGGATTTCTGCATATTGATGTAATCGGCACACTCATCTTGGTAAGATTCTTGTGTCTTCTTTGAATTCTTCACTAGATTGATGACAATGGATTCTCTGTAAAGAAGATAGGAGAAAATACTTATTACTAGATTATTTTATTCTGAATATTTTCCTTGCTCTCAAAAATATTAGTCAGAAAAACAACAAAAGAAACCAAATAAATTTTAAAAGCTTAGCTTATTATAAATGCTGTGAATCATGATTTTTTTTAATGCCTAAAAGAAGCAACAGGATAGTGAGATATCTTCCAAATACCTCACAATTTTTATGCAAAAAATAACTTTTCTCAGGTCTGGGATTACAGGAGGGTAGGCATAAAGGAGAAGACATATTTGTTACTATTGTAATACTGAAAATGTTAAGACATGTTGGGATGTGTGGGTAAGAACCAATAATACTTAATATCCTGACAGATGGTCTGATATGAATGTCATATCCTTCTCATATCCTTCTTAAAGTTTCAATTAGTCAGTTCCTTGTACAGATCTATAAATATGATAGGTACTTATTTGGAACCCCCAGATTTTTTTTTTAAGTCTAAATCTATAAACCATGCAATGCTACTCAGCCATAAGAAAGAATGAAACAATGTCTTCTGTAGCAAGTTGGATGGAATTGGAAGCCATTATCCTAAGTGAAGTAACTCAGGAACAGAAAAGTGAATGCTGCCATGTACCCACTGATAAGTGGGAGTTAAACTATGCTTATACAAGGACACACAGAATGACATAATGAAGATTAGGGAGTTAAAAGAGGGGAGGATGGGAAGGGATGAGAGATGACAAAGTACTTAAGGGGTACAATGTACACTATTTAGGTGATGGGCACACTAAAAGCTATGTCATTACCACTATACAACGTATAGATGTAACAGAGGTCGACTTATACACTCTAAATCTATTAAAACAAAAGAAAGGCCTGTAATATTGATAACAAGTCATTTAATCTGGTTGAACACGATTTTCTAGGCTTGTTTTCCTTGGTCATGTTACTGTTACTCATCAAATAAAGTTCAGCAATCAACAATTCCCCCCCCAAAAAAGTCTAAATCCTAAATCTAGCCAGAAACAGTAGCATGGGCTCTCTGTAGTTCTAGCTCCTTGGGAGGCTAAGGCAGGAAGGTCACTTGAGCCCAGGAATTTCCAGGCTGTAGTATACCAAGATGATACCTGTGTGTACACACTGAAATCCAGTGTGGACAATATAGTGAGACCCTATTTCTTTCCTTTCTTTCTTTCTTTCTTTCTTTTTCTTTTCCTTTTTTTCTTGAGATAGAGCCTCAAGCTGTTGCCCTGGGTAGAGTGCTATGGCATCACAGCTCACAGCAACCTCCAACTTCTGGGCTTAAGTGATTCCCGTGCCTCAGCCTCCTAAGTAGCTGGGATGATAGGTGCATGCCACAACACTCAGCTATTTTTTTGATTTTTTAGTTGTCGTTGTTTGGCAGCCCGGGCTGGATTTGAACCTGCCAGCTCTGGTGTATGTGGCTGGTGCCTTAGCCACTTGAGCTACAGGCTCCGAGCCAAGACCCCATTTCTTAAACAAAAACAGGGTCTAAATGTAGGTTAATTTTGCAAGTCACAAAATTTAACTCCTAAGTATTTTAACTCAAATGATATAAATATTTTCTACTTGAATAAAACAATGTAACAAAATATCATGTCTTGACTTTTTAAAAGCAATAAGCAAAATATATAATAGTTAAATGCCCCTCTGTCCTGCTACCTGAACTACCCAGTCGCCAACCGTCCATTCAATTCTCCTCTCCTTAAAATAATATAATAGAATGGATTAAACATTCATTGAGCTCCAACTATTTTTCTAGGCCAGGAACTTTGCACATATTATATTTCATCATCATAATCTTTTATTAGAGTTGTTGGTAGAAAGATAGATCTGATATTCTGGGTTTTTTCCTCTTAATTTTTTTTTATTAAATCATAACTCTGTACATTAATGCAACTAGGGGGTACAATGTGCTGATTTTATATACAATTTGGAATGCTTACATCAAATTGGTTAACAGAGCCTTCACCTTACTTACTTAATTATTGTGTTAGGGTGCTTATACTCTACTCTTAATAAATTTGACATGTACCCTTGCAATATGCACCATAGGTGAGGTCCCACCGATTACCCTCCCTCTACTCAATCTCTCCCCTCCACTCTTCTTCCCTCCTTCATCCTGAGCTATAGTTGTGTTTTATCTTTCATATGAAAGTGTGGGTGATTATATATTGGTTTCATAATAGTACTGAGTATATTGGATACTTTTTCTTCCATTCTTGAGATACTTTACTAAGAAGAATATGTTCCAGCTCCATCCATGTAAACATAAAAGATGTAACATCTCCATCTTTTTTAGGGCTGCATAATATTCCATGTAGGCTGCTTCCATGACTTGGCAATTATGAATTGGGCTTCAAATAAGCATTCTGGTGCAAATATGTTTGTTGTAAAGTAATTTTTGGTCTTCTGGATATTAGAAGACCAAAATTCCTAGTAGAGGAATTGCAAGATCAAATGGCAGGTCTACTTTTAGTTTCCTAAGTTTTCTCCAAACTTCTTTCTAAAAGGAACTTAATAGCTTGCATTTCCACCTGCAGTGTAGAAGGGTTCCCTTTTCTCCACATCCACACCAACATTTGTAGTTTTGGGATTTTGTGGTATGGGTTACTCTTACTGGAGTTAGATGATATCTCAAAGTGGTTTTGATTTGCATTTCTCTGATGATTAAAGATGATGAGCATTTTTTCATGTGCCTCAAGTCTCTTGCCCACAATGAAATGGGATCATTTGTTCTTTTCTTATTAATAACTTTGAGTTCTGCAAATATCTTCTCCCATTCTGAGGGCTGTCTGCTTACTTTATTTACTGTGCTCTTGGTTGTACAGAAGCTTTTTAGTTTGATTAGATCCCAGTAATATATTTTTGGTGTTGCTTCAATTGCCTTTGGGGTCCTCATAAAATATTCTCCCAGGCTAATTTCTTCAAGTGTTTCCCTTACACTCTTATGTATCTTTATAGTTTCATGTTTTAAGTTCAAATCTTTTATCCAGTAAGAATCAATTTTTGTTAATAGTGAAAGATGTAGGTCCAGTTTCAGTCTTCTACAAGTCGCCAGCCAATCCACCCAGCACCATTTGTTAAATAGGGAATATTTCCCCCAATTTACGCTTTTAATAGGCTATCAAAGATCAAGTGACGATAAGTGTCTAGGTTCATCTCTTGATTATCTATCTGGTATTCTTATCTAGGTATGTCTAACAGAAAGTCTTCTGTTCTTAACTACCAAACCTTAGTGGAAGACTGACTAGACCACTGAATGTCTGGAACTAAGGTGACCTTCCAGAGATTCTGTGAATTTATGTGGTTAGCATGAGAGTGATCCTTTAGCATCTCTCCAAAGCATACTGCTGTCTGGTCAGGAAGTGTACTTGATAGCCAGCTCTACCAGTATACTATCATGACTAGAGAATGCCATTAAGAATATTAGTGTGCAATATATCACAAATATTACCAACCATATCCAGGTTCATAGGCAAATGAATGCCTAGAATGTATTTGAATAGAAGTTCTGGTGTTTGGTGTCATAGAAACATTTAGGCAAAAATGCTTACCTAATTTGATGTTCACTTCCTTGCATGTGAGACCGGAACATATCTAAAGATGTAAAAGTGATACTACAAATATGGCAAACGTAGGTTCTTACACTAAACGCTGAAAAAACAAAAGATTCAAGTTAAGAATGTCAATATGAATACACACAAAATCACATAATGTTAGAACTGAACAAGAATTTATTAGATATCATCTACTTAAAATTTCATACTAAAGATAGGGCCCAGAGAGGTCAAATGTCATGGTCAAAGTCACAGAGCCAGTTAGTAGAAAGGTTAGCCTCTCAGAGTCCATGTCTCTTAATTTAATACTCAGAATTCTTTATACTACACCATATTGCTTCTCCAACCTTGACCTCTTCCCTACAAATCTGCTATCTGCCTACTTACTGTTGCTACAAGGAGTTACAGTGGCCACCTCAAATTTACCATGCCCAACCAAACTTTGCCTCTGAATAGCTCCACTAACCTCTTTTTGTTTGCTCTTAACTCTCTTTCCACTCAACCAAAAGCTGAAACATCCCAAAAAGTTAGAAATAAGAGCAAATTTGTACTCTCTTACCTGAATTCAGTGTAGTGAATTAGTTACCAAAAGTAATTTCCATAGATTTAGAAAGGAGAGAGGTTCAGTAAGCCCCACTCTCAGGATAAAAGCTGAAAGCAAAATTCTAAAACAAAACTACTAGTTACCACTTAAAATAAGTCAAGAACGATAGAAGAACTGTACACTAGCGCTAACCTAACTATTTTGCTTCTTAGGTAGAATCAGAAGCAGAGGATAAATTAATTTTTTTTTTTTTTTACTACATCCACCTTCCACTTTGTCTTTGATCAAAAGAAGCAAAGTAATAAATTTCATGAGCCAAATACAGATACAATCCCACCCTAGGAGGGAGTCAATAAGTTGGTGGGTGCAGAGATTTTAGGGATAACCAAGGTCTTTCTTAAATGGCTGCTTCTTTTAAATCAAATAGCAAGCTAATAATTTAAAGGAAGTTAATTGAGTATACTGGCCATATTTGAAGAAAGATTATTCACAGAAACAGAAGACTATTGGCAAGGAGAAAGAAAAATGCTGATTTAAAGACTCTGCTCTCTACTGACACATTGTGGGCCCAGGATGGCTCACTAGGTTATGTCAAAATCTGAACGAATGATTCCTCAAAATTATCCTTTGTCTCCAGGTTGATTTCACACTCACCATGTTGATTTCTGTTAATAATTTGTTTTCCCATATTCTTTGATACCAATAAAAGGATACCATGGACAATAGACGTCAAGAAAAACTGAGAACTAGAAATATGTAACTCTTTTTACCATAAATACCAGAATAACAATAGGTTAACTTAAATTACAATGTTTCCCATCTTCTCTGATAAGAATAATCTGGGGTATTAGTTTAAAATACATATTCTTGGTTTCCTCCCTTGAAGAACATAATTCACTCACAGCAAGGGGAATTTATATTTTAACAAGTACATCGAGTGATTATCAGAGACTTTGTGAGAAATACTAAGGATCTATCCAGTTCCTCAGTTATTTATCAGCCTCTTTGAAGTCTGTTTGTGTTACTGAGTCCTTGATTTGTGCTCATCAACTCTAAAGATCATGGATTTCCTGCAAAGCTAAGAACCAAACCCAGGACTGTCATCTTCCTAACAACCCTTTTCAGGAAATACTTATCTTTAATTTATAGGTGTCAAAACTAAAGCTCAGATGAACTTTACCAATACTATATATTTTGTGGGTACTCAAGTTATGTAAAATAAGCAGGAGTGGTTATTTTACATAAATAACTGGTTTTCTCTAGATTAGTGGTTCTCAATGTTGATTTTACATACAAAATTGTGTAGAGATTTTAAAAAATATTCATATTACAGCTCCACAACAGACCAATTAAATCACATTCTCTAGGGTTAGAACCAGGATTTCTCACTTTTTGAAAGCTTTCCAAATGATTTTACTGTACAGACATTATTGAGCACCTGTTCAAGATTACTGAGCAATAGTCTTCATTATGATTATAAACTCAGATTATATTTCAGAAATTCTATATATTCATTTAGTACCTATAATTTTAAATTTACTATATACAGTGTCCTCCTCAGTTCCTTGTTTGTTTCCCCACAAATTACATCAGAAGTAAGATTCTAACAGAGATAATATAAGGGCTCAGAAGAGCTGCTGGTCATATATGAAAGATCCAAAGGCAGTTCTAAAACTGGTCTGATTACCGTTAACTTAGTCCTTGGCTTTTCCATACACTGATGTTCCTTATCTTTTTCAAGGACATAAACATCTCAGAAAAAAATACATGAAAACTGTGTAAATTTTTTTCTGTGAAGATATGAAGCCTATTCATTGGCCCCAAGGTCAGAATTGCTGATCAAATCCTTGTGACCTGTCTCCATTATGTTTCTTACACTTTCCGTTCTTTTATCCCCAAGACTGTTCCTTGACCCTATCCTGCTTTTGGCTGTCGTGTTCTCAGCCCTATTAATATTCCTCCTTTCTGACTTCAGCAGAAACTCAGGCTTCTTTGCTTCTTGCACCTTTCAGAATCTTCCATAACTTAACACTTTGGGGGCCCAGAAGTGCATGTATTTATAGTCTAACATTGTAGTTCTCAATTTTGGCTGCATATCAGAATCACTTGGGTAGTTAAAAAAGAGAAAACAAAACACTATGGCTCGGTGCCTGTGGCTCAAGCGGCTAAGGCGTCAGCCACATACACCTAAGGTGGCGGGTTCGAATCCCCAGCCAGGGCCCGCCAAACAACAATGATGGCTGCAACCAAAAAATGGCCAGGCGTTGTGGCAGGCGCCTGTGGTCCCAGCTACTTGGGAGGCTGAGGCAGGAGACTCGCTTGAGCCCAGGAGTTGGAGGTTGCTGTGAGCGTGATGCCATGGCACTCTACCCAGGGGGATAGCTTGAGGCTCCGTCTCAAAAAAAAAAAAAAACACTAATGCATAGGTCACGGAGATAGTAATTTAATTTACTGCACACTTATAAATTTGACTCAAACTGCACAAATGCAAATCACATAACCAAAACATATATATCCCTGTAATATTCTGAAAAAAATAATTTAAAAACTCTTAAATTTTTTAAAATTTCAGATTAATATGATGGTACACATGATTAGGTTACAATGTTTGTATTTTTTAGGTAAATTCCCTGTTATAGCTGTGCCCCAGACCTAGAAGGTGTGCCATATCCCCCCACATTGTGCCCATTAGGTGGGAGTGCACTGATACTACTTTCTCCTTCCTTCTCCCTCTCCCCACAACTTGAATTGAATTGGAAAAACTCTTTAAAACTTTAATTGAGTAGAGGGATATGACAAGAGCATTAGGAGGTCTAAAAACTCCCCACATGATTCTAATTAATAGTCAAAGTTGAGAACCACTGGGCTAGTATCTTATATGTGGCATAAAACAGTTGAGAGTTACATGTAAGTAAAACTGCAGTTGAAAGTTCCTCTTTACAAGAAAAATAGAAAATGCCCAATTTTCCTGTTTTTAAATTATGACAGGACAAAACATTTTTAAAAACCTGCATTTGTTGAGAATTTTTTCTGTGATGAGAACTGTACATATTACTTTATTTCATCATCATTCAATCCTGTAAGTTGCATTATTTTCATTTTATATCTGAGGAATCTGAAGTGCAACTGGGCAAGGGACTTCAAGTATATCTCCAAATCTATGTTCATCCCTTTGCACAATATTGCCTTTCAATAAACAATTAGACAATATGAATTAAGATAAACTATGTACTCATTACCATATAAAGAACCATATAAGGAGGATATTGCAAAATAAAATATAATTTCTTATCTCAATGATGCTAATTCACGTGAGAGGCTATAATTGATATAATTATCAATGAAAAGTAAAGCTTAAGAGATATCAAAGAAAGGGGAGAATACCAAGAGCTATAGTAGTGAGGGAAGTTAGGATGGATCTTGGAGAAAAAGAAGAATCTCAATTATAGAGAAAGAAGATTACGGCACCCTAGGGGATGAAAATAATATCAGGTATGGCAAAGACAGAAATAAGCATATGTGTCGAATCTAAATAATCTGTTCAAAAAATACTGAGCACCTATGTGGCACCAAGCATCATATTTGATGCTAAGGATACAAGATCAATAAAACAGCCAGGCTGCCCACAAGTCCAGTGTGAGAAAGATTATGTGAACAAAGGGTTTCAGTTTCATCTGGTAAAAGCAAGAGAGGTATGCTGATGATGTATGGGAGTGCAAAGAAGCAGAGAAATTTAACACAATACAGTTCTGGTGAAGAAAGTCTACTGGAAGAGATGATGCCTTAGCTCAGCCTAAAAGGAAGAAGTACTTATAGGAACTTCTTAAAATTTGGAACTATTTTAGAGTTTAAAACAAAACAATGAAATTGGAAGAGGCAAAAAGGAGTCCATCAAAGAGAGACCTAAATGTTATGCTAAGGAGCCTATATTACTATTCTGTGTTCTCAGAAATGTTGAAATGGTTTAAGTAATAAATGACAGGGTTAGTCAATTGTGTGTTTTAGATGAATCTCTCCTCTGGCTGTAACACAGAAGATAAAGTTAAGAGGAATAAGCCTAGTAGTAAGGAGACCATAGTTAGGAGGGAAGAGATAATGAGAACATGGACTGGAAAGGTCTTAGCAAGGGTAGGGAAAAACATGGAGATTGGTGAAATGTTTAACTTTGAAACTGGGAAAACAGTGACAGAATGTGAGGGATAGAGGTGAGAGGAATTTAGGGGAGTCTAAAATAGTTCCCAGAGCCGGGTGTGGTGGCTCATGCCTTAATCCTAGCACTTGGGAGGCTGAGGCTGGTGGATTGCCTGAGCTCACAGGTTCAAGACCAGCCTAAGCCAGAGCAAGACCTCATCTTAAAAAAAATAGCTGGGTGTTGTGGTGGGCACCTGTAGTCCCAGCTACTTGGGAGGCTGAGGCAAAAGAATCAGTTGAGCCCAAGAGTTTGAGGAGCTATGATGCCATGACACTCTACCAAGGGTGACAAAGTGAGACTAAAATAAATAAATAAATAAATAAATAAATAAATAAAATAATTCCCAGAAACCTAGTTTAGT